TTTTTTTTTTGTAGCCTGAGCTGCCCTGAAACTCGCTATGTAGATCAAGCTGGCCTTGAATTCACAGAGCTCTGCCTGCCTCTGCCTCCTGAGTGCTGGGACTGAATGCATGTGCCACCATGCCTGGCTTTTTTATTTTTATTTTATGTGTATGAGTGATTTGCCTGCATGTAAGTGCACCTGTGTGTACAATGTGGGTGCTGAGAATTGAACCAGGTTCTCTGCAAAAGCAGTCAGTTCTCAGTGCTCTTAGCCTCTGAGCCATCTCTCCAGCTCTGTGGTATTTTTTTAAAGATTCTTTTAAAAATTTTCATTTATATGTATGTGTTTTTCTTTGTGAATGGATGCTGTATACATGGGGGTGCCCTTGGAGGTCAGACGCATTACAAGGCAGTTGTGGGCAACCTGATGTGGGTGCTGGGAACCAAACTTGAATGCCTTGGAAAATCAGGAAGTCCACTTAACTGCTGAGCCAGTACATATGTGTGGGTATGTACGCTAATGCAGGTGACCTTGGAGACCAGAGGCATCGGCTCTCCCTGGAGCTAGGGTTGCAGGCAGTTAGTTGTGAGCTGCTCAGCATGGGATCTGGGAACTGAACTTGGGTGGAAAAACAATCTGCATTTTTTTTGTTTTGAAAATATTTTATTACTTTTATTTTATGTGTATGAGTGTATTGCCTGCATGTATGTAAATGCACCCATATCATTAAGTGCCCATGGAGGTCAGAAGAAGGTGTTGGGTCCACTGGTACTGGAGTTAGAATGATTGTTATCCACCATGTGGGTGCTTATTTTTTAATTTTTCTGGTCTTTTTTTTTTTTTTTTTTTTTTGAGACAAGGTCTCCCTGTAGCCTCAGCTGGCCTGGAACTCACTATGTAGACCAGGCTGGCCTTGAACTCACAAAGATCCACCTGCCTCTGCCTCCCAAGTGTTGGGATTAAAGGTGCATGCCGTCACACCTGGCCCTTCTTTTTATTTTTATGTGTGTGAATGTTTTACCTACATGTCTGTAAGTGCATCTGTCATATAGTGCCTATGGAGAGGGCATTGGCTCCCCTGGAACTGAATTACAGATGGTTGTTAGCTGCCATGGAGGTACTGGGAACTGAACCTAGGTCCCTTTGAAGTCCAGCCAGTGCTCTTAACCACTGAGCCATCATCTCTCCAGCCCACAGCATGCCTTCTTAACCACTGAACCATCTCTTCAGCCCCTCTCCCCTTCTTTTCATCCATAGAGCACTGAGCTACACCCCTTACCCCTCTTTTTAGGTTCTATCCAAAGGATCTCATGTTAACTTGATTACTTCTATAGAGACTCTTTACTGAGGGTTAGGACTCCAACAATCTTTTGAGAGAGACATTGCAACCAGTAATAGAAATCAATTTAGTCTTTTTTTTTTTTTTTTTTCTGGTGCTGGGAATTGCACTAGGGCCTCACACATGCAAGAAAATGCTCTACCATTGAGCTATACTCCCAGCCCAGTTTTATTTTGTTTTTGTTTTTGTTTTTAAACTGGAGCACTTTTTGTTTTCTAGAACTTTAGCTCTTGAAGTATATAAGTGAAGGTCTGGGCATGGTGGCACACGCCTTTAATCCCAGCACTTGGGAGACAGAGGCAAGCGGATCCCTGTGAGTTCAAGGCCAGCCTGGTCTACATAGTGAGTTCCAGGACAGCTGGGGCTACAGGGAGACCCTGTCTCAAAAAGACCAAAAGAAAAGAAGTATATAAGTATGATATTGTAGACTGTCCCTTAATAGGGCTTTGTATGATTATTCTTTTTTTTTTTTTTGTAATGGGGGGGTGTGCAAGTATGTCATTAGCATGTGTGGCGATCAGAGGACAACCTGAGGGAGTCAGTTCTCTCTTTCCACCATGTCAGTCCTGAGGATTGAATTCAGGCTGTGAGGCTTGGCAGCACGTACCTTTACCTGCTGAGCCATGTTATTGGCCCTTGTCTAATAATTATTAAATTCATATGATGCAGTTTGGGTAAGTCTACAGAGAACTGATGTGCCTTCCTCAGTACATATCAGGAGGTCCATATCATGAAGACTGTGAAATGGACCATTTTCCCCTTTATAATTAGCAAGTGATCCATGGGGACATAGCTTGAGGCATGTTTTTCATCAAACTTCTATTTAAGAACAGAGCCCAAAGTCTCATGCAAGCTAGGCAGATGTTCTATACTGAGCCCACCCTTTACTTTTTACATCCACTCAGGAATCCATTTTTACTCTAGTAATTTCAAAACTTTAAAAGTTATGAAAAATAATCCTTTTGAGTACTATAAAATTCATTTAGCTGAGATTACATTTAAGATTTGTAATAGTCCCCATAAGATAGGAATAAAAAAAAACAAATATATGAAAGGGATTTGGACATGATAATGCACACCTGTAATCTCTGTACTCAAGAGACTGAGGCTAGGGGCTGGAGAGATAGCCCAGCAGTTAAGAGCAGAGGACCCGGGTTCAGTTCCCAGCACCTACATGGCAGCTAACTGCCATCTTAACTTCAGTTCCAGGGACTCTGATACCCTCTGCCGACCTCTGTAGGCATTACATGACACGGGTGCACTTACATGCAGGCAATACACTCATACACATAAAATAATAAAATTTTTTAAAAATTCTTGAAGCAGGGTCTCCCTATAGCCAGTTCCAGGGGAATCTGAAGCCCTCTTCTGACCACCATGGCATTGCATGACACAGGTGCACTTACCTACATGCAGGCAATTCACGCATACACATAAAATAAAATAAAATAAAAAATAATTTAATTTTTTTTTTTAATTTCTAAAAAAGAATTAGTTGAAGACTGGGCCAGCAAGAATGCTTAGCAGGTCAAAGCACTTACTGCAAAAGCCTGACTGCTTGAGTTTGATCCCAAGAACCCACATAAAGGTGAAAGGAAAAAACTGACCTCCATACCTGTTCTGCATCACACGCACCCCCTCCCCACATATATACACAATAATAAAGTTTTAAAAATCTTAAAAGTGGAATCTGGAAGTCAGGCATGGTGGCACATGCCCTTAATCCCAGAACTGGGGAGGCAGGGGAAGGCAGAGTTCTGTGAGATCAAGGCCAGCCTGGTCTACATAGTGAGTTCCAGGCCCACTAGTGCTATAAGGAGACCCCCACCCCACCCCAAAAAAAGGAGGGGCTGGGCCGGGTGTGGTGGCACACGCCTTTAATCCCAGCACTTGGAAGGCAGAGGCAGGCGGATCTTTGTGAGTTTGAGGCCAGCCTGGTCTACATAGCGAGTTCCAGGACAGCTGGAGCTACAGGGAGACCCGGTCTCAAAAAGACAAAAAAAAAAGGGCTGAGAAATGACTAAGTTGGTAAAGTGCTTGTCATGCAGACGTGATGATCTGAGTTTGGATCCCCAACACCTAGATAAAGACCTGCACAAAAACAGCAGTGTGTACCTAGAATCCCAGAGCTGGGAGGTGGAGAGAGGAGGAGCCCTGGGACTTGCTGGTCTGCTAGTCTAGCCAGGTCAGAGAGCTCTGTGTTAAGTAAGTAAGGGACTCTGCCTCAAAAAATCAAATTGGAGAGCAATTGACAAAGACGCCTGATGCCTCCACACCTGCACACACATACTCGAAAGACCTGTAAGGGAGGGTCAGTTTAAGGTCATCCTCTGCTACATAGGGAGTCCCTCACCAACCTGAGATACATGAAACCCTGTCTACATAAATAAGAAGGAGAGGAAATATATACCCAAGGGCTGGAGAGATGCTCAGTGGTTAAGAGCCTTTGATGCTCTTCCAGAGGATCCCAGTTTGGTTCCCATCATCCGTGTTAGATCACTCACAACAGCCTGTAACTCCAGTTCTAGGGGATCTGACATCCTTTTCTAACCTCCATGGTCACCTTCACACATGATATATACTCACACAAACATGCATACACATAAAAATAAATATTAAAAGCCAGGTGTGGTGGCACATGCCTTTAATCTCAGCACTCGGGAGGCAGAGGCAGGTGGATCTCTGTGAGTTCAAGGCTAGCCTGGTCTTCATAGCGAATCCAGGCCAGCTGGGGCTACAAGGAGACCCTGTCTCAAAAAAAAATTTAAAAAATACAAGGAAATATATGCTCATGAGAACTGGGTGTAGTGTTGCATGCATGTAATCCCAGTTCTTGGGAGGCTGAGGCATGAGGTCATAAATTCAAGGCCAGCCTGGGCTACATCGTAAGGCTCTGTCTCAACCCCACCACATCCCCTCCCCCAAAGAAAAGATGTATTCTCATAGTTTTTTAAATGTTTGGTTGTGAGTCTGAGGCTTTAACAGCTGAACCATCTCTCCAGCCCTATGTTTAAAGTTTTTTAATGTATTATTATTGTATGTGTGTACAATGGAAAGAGGCATGTGCCATGACTTGAATGTCAAAGTCAGAGGATAACTCTGTGGAGTCAGCCGTCTCCTTCCACCCTGAACATGAGTTCCAGAGATTGGAGTCACACTGTCAGTCTTGCACAGCAGACACTTCACCATCAGTGCCACCTTTTTTTTTTTTTTCTGTCTTTTTGAGACAGGGTCTCCCTGTAGCCCCAGCTGTCCTGGAACTCACTATGTAGACCAGGCTGGCCTCGAACTCACAGAGATCCACCTGCCTCTGCCTCTCAAGAGCTGGGATTAAAGGCATGTGTTACCATGCCAGGATTTTTTTTTTAATCCACAAAGGATATACAAGAAATTAAATGGTTTTCTCCGAGGTTCATAGTTAGCAAACTTCAGCATGGGCCAAATCACCTAAACACATGTTTTCTGTAGCTAGAGTTTGATTAGAATGAGTCAGGCTCATTTTTTTATGTGTTATCTACAGCTGATCTTATAATCAAAGCAATAGAGACCCTACAGCTCTATGCAGTTGATAAGAGTATGGAGATTGGTGTGGAAATAGTATTTCCTCACATAGCTTTTGCTTATGTATAATGTATATGTGTTAAAGCGTGATAGACACATATGATATCTATATGCATGTATGTACATTATCATGTAAATTCATAACCTATCAAAACACTTGAACTTTCGTAACCCTTCCTGCTGCTGGAGCTGGTCTTCCCAATATTGCTGGTCTCACACATTTTGTGCTCTGCTTGGTTTATCAGGAATTTTCAAAAACCCATCCTAACTATTTGATTGCTGGTGCCAATGATGCTTCCCAAACCTGGGATCTATTACTTCCCCTGGGAGGTCAGTGACGGCCATGTTCCTGACGGGAGCACACTGCGAACATTTGGCAGGTGAGATTGGTTGTTTCTTCATGTACTGAGCGATAGCTCCCTGTATTAGTCACTTTTCTGTTGCTGTGATAGAAACACTGACTGAAGCGATTTATAAAAGGAAGAGTTTATTTGAGCTTAGGGTTCCAGGGGAATTACAGTCCATATGGCAGGGAGGCATGGTGGCTGGAGGTGGCTGAGCAGGAGCAGCAGAAATGAAGCTCTCACATCATCACACAGGCACAGGAAGCAAGAGAGCAACTGGGGATCCTGCAAGGCTTAAGAACTCTCTAAGCCCACCCCCAGTGACATGCTTCCTGCAGGATAGCCACACCTTCTAAAACCTCCCAAAACAGTGCCACCATCTGGGCACAAAATGTCAAAATACTTGGAGCCTATGGGGGACAAGTTCATTCAGACCACCACACTCCCTCTCCCCCAAAAACCTCAATTAAAATAGTTTTTACTGCCAGGCGTGGTGATGCATGCCTTTAATCCCAGCACTCAGGAGGCAGAGGCAGGCGGATGGATCTCTGTAAGTTCAAGGCCAGCTTGGTCTACATAGTGAGTTCCAGGACAACTGGTGCTACAGGGAGACCCTGTCTCAAAAGAAAGACCAAAAAGAAAAAAATAGTTGTTACTATAATTTTGTCCAATTATAAATAACACTAAAAATTAATATATATCCATTTTTAAATATAGATAACCCACAAAGGGGTAAAGCAAAAAGCATTGTCCAGACAACCATTGCTAACTTTTTGTGACGATCTTTATATATTTTTCCCTGTGTGTTATAGATGAGTAGAAATCTGAGTGGATGTGTGTATACATATATGTAAATACTGTATTAGTTGTATATTGTTATGTCACAAATTACCCCCGAGTTTAGTGTTTTAAAGTGATACCAAGCTTGGTGGTGCATACCTGTAATTCCAGCTTCTTGGGAGGCTGATGCAGGAAGTGTCAAGTTTCAAGGCCTGCCTAGGCTACAGAGAAATAGTTCAAGGCTAGCCTGGGCAGCTTGGCACCACCCTGTCTCAAAAGAAAAAATAAGGTGGGCATGGTGGCACATCCCTTTAGTCTCAGCACTTGAAAGGCAGAGGCAGGGAGACAGGCAGATCTCTGTGAGTTCCGGGCCAGCCAGGACAACATCGTGAGACCGGAAATAAGCAGGAACATACCTTCACAATCTTGCAGTTTAGCTAAGAAACAGAAATAATTTTTTTTTGTTGTTTTTGTTTTTTATTTTTTTGAGACAGGGTCTCCCTGTAGCCCCAGCTGACCTGGAACTCACTATGTAGACCAGGCTGGCCTTGAACTCACAGAGATCTGCCTGCCTCTGCCTCCTTAGTGCTGGGACTAAAAGCATGGCCACCACACCCGGCCCAGAAATAAAAATTTTTAGCAAAGAAAAAAACCCTGAATATATTGGACATCAGCAAAAAATGTTTCTGCTCATGAAAAGATACCATAACAGGCCAGAGAGACAGTTCAGTGATTAAATGCACTTGCTGCTTATGCAGAGGACCTGGTTTCAGATACCACCACCCATGTGTGATGGCTTTACAACTGCTTGAAACTCCTGCTCCAGGGGATTCAGTGTCCTCTTCTAGCCTCTACTGGCATTGCACTGACATCCGTATGTAGACAGACACACACATAAAAGATGCCATAACAAAGTTAAAAGCAAGAGAAAGAGAATTAGAAAGCAGTTATCCCCCACTCTATAATGTAGCTTGCTTGTAAGCATTCGTTCTGATCTGTTGTTGCTTTTCTTTTTATTTCTTGGATCAGGTTGAGGCTGATCCCGATATCCATGGATTTATTGGTTTCCCCAAACCATTGGGGCTTGGCAGTGAGCCTATTTTTGAGTAGAAATTACTCCACTTCCTCTGCCCTCCAGGTTGTGCCTCTACGACATGGCACGCTCCCTGGTGACCCTGACAGCTAAGCATAAATCTGATCAGTACCAGCTGCTTGTGTGTACCAAATTGGTGGAGCCATTCCAGGCACAAGTGGACTCCCTGTACATGGTCCTTGGGGAGCTGGAGCATGAGGAGGGTAAGCTGAGTCCCCCATATCCTGCATCATTCTGGATCATGAGCTGGGGCATCTTCTAGGTAAATCAAGAACCAGGAATACTGGACTGTGGAGATGCTGAGATGGCTCAGCGGGTTAAGTGCTTGCCATGCAAACACGGTGTCCCAGTCTGTTTCTTCATTGCTATGACAAAGCATTCTGACCAACACCAACTTGGGGAAGAAAAGGTTTATTTGGCTTACATCTCCCAGGTTACAGTTCATCAGGGAGCCCAAGGTAGGAACTCAGGGCAGGAACCTAGAGCACAGGCCATGGAGGAATGCTACTTACTGGCTTGCTCCCCTGGCCCACCTGCCCAGGGGTGGCACCACCCACAGTGGGCTGGGCCCTCCCACATCACTCAACAATCAAGAAGATACCCCTCAGACATGGCCACAGGCCAGCCCAATGAAAGTAATTCCCCAATTGACACTCCCTCAACCCAGGTGTATCAAGTTGACATTAACGCTATCCAGCACACACGGGGACCCGAGTTCAAATCCCCAGAACTCAGGAACCTGGACATGTGTTTGTAATCCCAGTACTTCTACAGGGAGATGGGAGGCAGAGATAGGAGACTAGCCTGGTGTGCGCAGTAGTGAACAAAGACCTTGCCTCAAACAAGGTGGAAGGCAAGGACTGACATCCAAGGTTTTCGCTCTGACTTCCACACATGTGCTGTGGTATCCAAGAGCCCCACACACAAAGAACTAAACAAACAAAAAACTAGGGATGGGCCTGGCCTGTAACCCAGTGGGATGATTCACTTGGATTAATGTGGCTCCCAGATCAGCACACAAAGTCAAGAGCTGTTGGGAAAGAGACGTGATTGGCCTCAGAATGTACCAGCCATGTGATGCAAACTCACAGAGAGGGAGATTGAACAGATGGTCACCTTGGGGAAGTGAAGAAAAAAGAAGGAAGTCACAGATTTCTGAGGGCCTGTGGTGCATCCTGGCACGGTGTCAGATAGTGTGCTTAAGTCTTTTCTAATCTGTCCACCAGCCCTTATTCCGAGTCTTATAGATATTTCCTGAACACCAAGGCTCAAGAGATGGTGGGGCCAGGAAGTCAAGGTAAGAAAAACAAAAAGCAAGGGAAAGAATAAAATAGTCTGGAACAATCTGTCTGGCATGAAGAGTTGTAGCTAGGTAGTGGAGCCTCTGCCCAGCGTGAACCCTGGGTTCCATCCCAAGCATTAAAAAGGAGAGCATTGAAGGCATTCTTTACCCCTGCAGGCTGGGCTGCTGGGTCATAGAGATGGGCCAGTGGCTTTTCTCTCCCCTTGTGGGGCCTATCACTGAGGCCCCATTTTTGTGTGTCTCATGGTCTGTTTTCTCTCTTTCTGTAAGCATGTGCTTCCCTGACCAATCATCAAAAAATATGTGTTCGTTGTAGAGAATTTAAAAGAAGCAAAGTAAGAGTCGAGATTGACAGATTAAAACCTTGTTGTTTGCTGCTGGTGGTGAGTGTGGCTTAGGTTTTATTTCTGTGACTAGTCTGAACTCCCTATATAGACAGAGCAGGCTGGCCTCAAACGTATGATCCTTATGTCTCTGTTTCCCGAGTGCTGAGCCACCACACCCGGCTTGGCCTGGAACTTTCTATGTAGCCTGGTGTCAAATTCTTAATCTTCTTGAGTCAGCCTTGTAAGTGCTAGGATTACAGGTGTTTGCTACCATGCCAAGCACATTTAGATCTCTTGATTTGTAATTTTAAAAAAAATTGCCCATCGTGGTGGCACACGCCTTTAATCCCAGCACTTGGGAGGCAGAGGCACGTGGATCTCTGTGAGTTCAAGGCCAGCCTGGTCTACATAGTGAGTTCCAGGACAGCTGGGGCTATAAGGAGACCCTGTCTCAAAAAAGAAAAAAAAAAAATCAAGGGGGCTAGAGAGATGGCTTAGCAGTTAAGAGCACTGACTACTCTTGCAGAAGACCTGGGTTCAATTCCCAGCATTCACATGTCCTTAACTCCAGTTCCAGGGAAATCCAAACCCCTTTTCAGACGTCTGCTGGCATTGCACAACACGGGTGCACTCACGTACATACAGTCAATAAAATATTTATTTATTTTAAATTTTTTTAATTTATTTTTATTTTATGTGTATGCATGTAGGTAAATGCACCCATGTTGTGTAATGCCCGCAGAGGTCAGAAGAGGCTGTTGGATCCCCTGGGACTGGACTTACGGACAGTTGTTAGCTGCCATGTGGGTGCTGGGATTCAGACCCAGGTCTTCTGCAAGAACAACCAGTGTTCTTAACCTCTGAGCCATCTCTCCAGCCCCATAATAAATAAAATATTTTTTTTAAAAAAAGGGAGCCGGGCGTGGTGGCGCACACAGTTAATCCCAGGACTCAGGAGGCAGAGGCAGGTGGATCTCTGTGAGTTCAAGGCCAGCCTGGTTTACAAAGTGAGTTCCAGGACAGTTGGGGCTACCCCTGTCTCAAAAAGGTGGAGACACTGAGGCTGCAGGAGCCTGTCCAAGGAAGGGGGCTTGTTGTTGTGGCATCCCCTCTCTGCCAGCACTAAAAGATTATTTAGCATTCTATTTAATTAAGTGCTGTGGGCTGGTCCCATAGCATTCAGAAAAGGGGCACAATACAGTGTTTTGCCCACTTTTTAAATAAAACTTACATGCAATGGGCCTGTCAAGGCCTAGACCTAGAGCTGGCCTCCTTGGAGGATGGAGGCCTCAAGAGTGGGAGGGTGTTCTCCAGAGAGGGGCTGCTACCTCCCAGTGGGCTTGGGAAGAGCACTTGTGAGGGGGTTCCAACAAGAAGGGACCTTATGTGGCAAAGATGCAAAGACGTTGCAAATCAACCATTAAAATATTTTTTCTGGCAGGCGTGGTGGCACACGCCTTTAATCCCAGCACTTGGGAGGCAGAGGCAGGTGGATCTCTGTGAGTTCGAGGCCAGCCTGGTCTACATAGTGAGTTCTAGGACAGCTGGGGCTACAGGGAGACCCTGTCTCAAAAAAGACAAAAAAAATTTTTTTTTTTCCTAAAATGGAAAAAACAAACAAAAAAAGGATTGCTAGGCATAATGTCACATGTCTTTGATCCCAGCACTCCAGAGGGAGGCAGATCTCTCTGAGGTGGAGGCCAGCGTGATCTACATAGTGAGTTCCAGGCCAGCCAAGAGCTACATAGTGACACACTGTCTCAAAAGAAAAAAATTATGATGGATTATAACTCTGGATGAAAGACGTCAGGGGAAAAAGTAATTAAATAGTGCTTGCTTTAATTACATTTGATTTACTAAAAGTTGATCTTATTCAGATTTAAGCCTTGGAGGACAGAGTTCCTTCCTCATAATTGATTTGGAGAAGGTATAGGAGGAGCACAAAGCGCCTTTTTTTTCTTGTTTTAAGATAGTGTCTTACTGTGTTGTCCTGGCTGGACTGCTTCTGCCTTCTGAGTGTGGAAATTAAAGGCTTGCTTTACCAGGTCTGACTTTCTACACTTATTTAGTGCATGTGTGTGTACGTGCCAAGGCGTGTGTGTGTGGAGATCAGGGACAACTTGTAGGAAGTCTGTTTTCTTTCCACTGTTGTGGGTGCTAGAAATCAAACTCAGGTTGTCAGGCTTGAAGATAGGCACCTTGACTGCTAAGCCATCTTGTCAGCCTCATGAAAGGCCTTTTTATAAATGATTTCCACTTTGACCCTAGTCCCAGCCCCTCCACCAATGTGAGCTTCCCTCATACTTCCTGCAGGGTCCTGGGAGATCCTGGGATCCCACTGCCAGTATTGAAACTTCATGGCCAGCTGCACATAGGCGAAGGGATTGGAACCAGGATGAGACAGCAGGCCAGGAGTGTGTCACGGTTCACAGGATTCCGTAGTTATTTGTTGGGAAAAAAAAATGAAAAAAACAAAACTTTAAAGTATAAAATGACCCTAGGGAAATATGGTGGCATATGCCTGTCATCCTAGCATTTAGGAGGTGGAGGCAGGAAGTTCACGTCATCCTCAGCTACATAGCAAGTGTGAGGCCAGCCTGGATTAAGTAACACTTGCTCAAAAGCAAAACAATACAATCAATCTCTATTCTAGTTAAATTAATTAACTTTGGACTTTTTAAACTGGTTTTTGGATACGGAATCTCAGGTAGTCTACGCTTGCCCTTGAACTCTCAATGTAGCCAAAGATGACCCAGAACTCCTCCTGATTTTCCTACCTCTGCCTCCCAAGTGCTGGCATTACAGGTAATATGCCACCATGCCAGCTTGTTTATTGTTTTTGTTTGTTTTGTTTTTGTTTTTAAATTATGTGCATTGTGTCAGTGTGTGGATATGTACACATGAGTGCAGGTGCCTGAGGAGGCCAAAAGTGTCTGGAACTGGAGTTATCGTAGTTGTTAACCACCTGAAGTGGGTGCTGGGAACCAAACGAGTCTTCTGCAAGAGCAGCAAGTGCTCTTATCCACTAAGCCATCTCTCTAGTCCTGGTTCTGTTTTGTTTTTTGAGACAAGGCTCACTTTGTATTCCAGTCCAAGAACTCACTGTGTAGACCAGGCTGGCCTAGAACTCAAGATTCTCCTGCCTCTACCTCCCAAAGTGCTGAGATTGCAGGCATGTATCACCTTACTGGTCTTTCTTTAATTCTTTTTGTTTATAGTGCAGAGAATCAAACCCAGGGCCTCATGCATGCTAGGCAACTGCTTTACCACTGAGATCCACTCATAGCCCCAAAATCACTACTTAACATTTTTTTTTGTCTTTTTGAGACAGGGTCTCCCTGTAGCCCCAACTTTCCTGGAACTCACCATGTAGACCAGGCTGGCCTCGAACCCGCAAAGATCTGCCTGCCTCTGCTTCCCAAGTGCTAGGATTAAAGGCGTGCACCACCACGCCCTGCTAACATTTTATTTTTTTTAATGTTTATGAATGTTTTGCCTGCATGTGTGTAGGTATACCACATGCATGGCATGCAGTGCCTACAGAGACCAGAAGAGTGTATCAGATCCCCTGGAA